GCCAGCGCCAGCAGCACCACTGCCAGCAGGGCTGGGAGGCTTGCGCGCGAGAGACCTCCGCCCGCCGTCAGTGCCATCGCGGCCTTCAGCAGGCATAGACCCTGCGGAACTGAAACGGAGTCGGTTCGTGAGTGCACTAAAGAGACCAGCAGGTCGCGGTAGCAGCGTGGTATGAGGGAAGTAAATCCTGCCTCGGCCTTGAAGCCTTCTGGAGGCAGGGATCGTCTGGTGCCGCAAAGGAGCGCTATCGCCGACCTCGAGACGCGGTGGCGACTTGAGCCAAAATGGCTACGGATATATATATATATATATATATACCTATACGACCACCCTGCGGGTGATAAGGAGGTTGGGGTGAAGGGCCCAACAATGGGCAACATGAATTCACAATCGATATCACTATCCACGTCGTCATCATCATCAGCATCATCATCATCGACATCACCATCAACATCATCATCATCAGCATCATCATCATCGTATTCATCATGATCATCAGCATCAACATCATCATCATAATCAATGTCGTCATCATAGTCACAAACATAAACACCACGAAGGCCATCATCACCATCAGCATCGCACAATCGATCTCACATTCGGTATCACTACCGATATCACAATCGATCTCGCAATCGACGTCATCATCATCATCATCATCACCATCACCAACATCATCATCATCATCATCATCATCATCATCATCATCATCATCATCATCATCATCGCCATCATCAACATCATCATCAATATCACCATCATCATCATCACCATCATCATCAGAATCATCATCATAATCATCATCAACATCATCATCGGGACACCGACGGGACACAGACGGGACACCGGCGGGACACCGGCGGGACACCGCGCCGCCCCGGCCGCCCGGAAGGGAATCATTTCGTCCGGCCGCGCCACAGCCACACGGGACACCAGCGGGACACCGGCGGGACACCGCGGGGCCCCGGCCGCCCGGAAGGGAATCATTTGGTCCGGCCGCGCCTCAGCCACACGGGACACCAGCGGGACACCGGCGGGACACCGCGGGGCCCCGGCCGCCCGGAAGGCAATTATTTGGTCCGGCCGCGCCTCAGCCTCAGGAGACTTTCTCTCGCCCGCCCACGCAGCTTCGCCTCGCCCGCACGGCACGCACGAACACGAAACCGAAATCGATTTCCCGGTAGGGGGGCTCTCCGTTCCACTTCGATCTCACCCCCCAACCTCCGATATATATATATATATATATATATATATATACCTATACCTATACCTATACGACCACCCTGCGGGTGATAAAAAGGTTCGGGGGGGGGAGGAACCAACGTCTCACTCGACCGGTCTCACTATCGATATCACTATCGATCTCAGTATCGGTCTCGCTCGATCGATCTCACAATCGATCTCACAATCGATCTCACAATCGATATCACATTCGGTCTCACTATCGATCTCACTATCGATATCACAACCGCTCTCACAATCAACGTCATCATCATCATCATCAACAACAACAACATCAACATCAACATCATCATCACCAACATCATCATAATCGGGACACCGTCCTCATCATCAACACCAGCATCATCATCATCATCATCACGGTCATCAACATCATCGGGACACCACCATCATCATCATCATGACCATCATCACAATCATCACAATCATCATCATCAGCATCATCATCAGCAACATCGGGACACAGTCATCGTCATCATCATCATCATCAGCAGCATCATCATCGGGACACCATCATGATCACCATCCTTATCATCATCATCATCATCATCGTCATCATCGGGACACCATCATCACCATCTCATCCTCATCATCGACATCATCATCATCATCAGCATCATCAACATCATCATCAGCATCATCATCATCGTCATCATCTGGGCACCATCATCATCATTACCAACATCAACATCAACAACATCATCATCATCATCACAATCATCATCATCATCACCATCGGGACGCCATCATCATCAACATCATCATCACCATCATAATAATCATCATCATCGGGACGCCATAATCATCATCAACCTCATCATCATCAATCATCATCGGGAGCATAATCAGCATCATCAACATCAACATCATCATACTCATCATCATCGGGACACCATCATCGTCATCATCATGATCATCAACATAATCATCATGATCATCATCATCATCCTCATCATCGGGACACCGTCAGCATCATCATCATCATCGTCATCATCATCAACAGCAGCAGCATCATCATCATCATCATCATCATCGGGACACCATCATCCTCATATCATCATCATCATCATCATCATCATCATCATCATCATCATCATCATCATCATCATCTTCATCGTCATCATCATCATCATCATCATCATCATCATCATCATCATCATCATCATCATCATCATCATCATCATCATCATCATCATCATCATCATCGCGGGACACCGCAGGACACTGGCGGGACACCGCGGGGCACCGCGGGACACCGCGGGACACCGCGGGACACCGGCGGGACACCGCGGGCCCCCGGCCGCCCGGAAGGGAGTGATTTGGTCCGGCCGCGCCTCAGCCACACGGGACACCCGCGGGACACCGGCGGGACACCGCGCGCCACAGGCCGCCCGGCGGAGAATCATTTGGTCCGGCCGCGCCTCCGCCACAGGAGACTTTCTCTCGCCCGCCCACGCAGCTTCGCCTCGCCCGCACGGCACGCACGAACACGAAACCGAAATCGATTTCCCGGTAGGGGGGCTCTCCGTTCCACTTCGATCTCACCTCCGCACCTCCGATATATATATATATATATATATATATATATATACACATATATATATATATAAACATATAAATATATAAATATAAAGAGAGAGAGAGAGAGAGAGAGAGAGAGATCCGAGGTTGGAGGGTGAGTCCGACGTGAAACGGAGACTCCCCCTACTGGGAAATCGATTTCGGTTTCGGGTTCGTGTCGTGCATGCCGTGCGTGCGTGAGAGCGAGGCGAAGCTGCGTGGGCGGGCGAGAGGAAATCCTCCTGTGGCTGGGCCGCGGCCAGACCACATAAAACTCCTCCGGCGGCCGGTGCCCCGCGGTGTCCCGCCAGCGTCCCGCCAGTGTCCCGAAATCCTCCTGTGGCTGGGCCGCGGCCGGACCAAATGTAACTCCTCTGGCGGCCGGTGCCCCGCGGTGTCCCGCCGGTGTCCCGCGGGTGTCCCGTGGTGTCCGCCGTTGCTAGGGCGAAGTCAAGACAAATGATCCTCCCTCTCCCGCCCGTCCAGCGGTGGCTCGCGGTGTCCCGCGGTGTCCCGTGGTGTCCCGTGGTGTCCCGTGGTGTCCCGTTGAATGAGATCGATAGTGAGATCGATAGTGAGATCGAGAGTGAGATCGAAAATGAGATCGATGGTGAGATCGGTGTGGTCCCCCAAGGTGTCCCGTGGAGTAGTCCCAAAAAGTGAGATCGCTAGTGAGATCGATAGTGAGATCGACAGGTGTCCTGTGGTGTCCCATGGTGTCCCGTGGTGGCCCGTGGTGTCCCGTTGAGTGAGATCGATAGTGAGATCGATAGTGAGATCGATCGTGAGATTGATGTGGTGTCCCTAGGTGTCCCGTGGTGTCCCGTGGTGTCCTATGGTGTCCCGTTGAGAGTGAGATCGATAGTGAGACCGATAGTGAGACCGATAATGAGATCGAGAAGTGTCCCACGGTGTCCCGTGGTGTCCCGTGGTGTCCCGTTGAGTGAGATCGATAGTAAGATCGATAGTGAGATCGACAAGTGTCCCGTGGTGTCCCGTGGTGTCCCGTTGAGTGAGATCGGTAATTAGTGAGATCGATTGAGTCCGATGTTGGTTCCCCCCCTCTCCCTCCCCCCCACAACCTCCTTATCACCCGAAGGGTGGTCGTATAGGTCAGGAGACAGGACGGACTTGAGCGTAGGAGGGGCATGTCGGGAACTCGGGGGGAACGAAAGGGTAAGATAGCAAAGGGCAAGGTAGAAAATCAGCTCACGTAGCTGGCCCTCCTGGCGCCTCCCGACGCAGGGAGGAGCCCATGTGTCGAGGAATGGGGCCCGGCGGCGGGGCCGAAACCAGCTGCATGCAGCAGATTTCGTACGGCAGGTTCGTGTCGTGCCGACCCCAGCGTTGGTTTTTGACACCGCAGGGATCGTTCAACCTTGAACGATCGGCCGCTGCCGCAACGTCCAATCGTTCAACATCGATCGATTCTGGGTCGCCGGCGGCGTTCAACCTTGAACGTCCGCGCTGGGGTCGCCGCTGGTCGACACGACGCAAACCTATCGTACCCCCCCCCCTTCACCTATCCCCCAATGTCGTCTCGCCCGAGACACGCGGGCTCGGAGCAGGAGCGCGAGGGGGCCGAGGCGGGGGGGCGGCACCATCGGCGATCGCAAGGAATCAAGGGCTCCTAAGTTCGCGCTTCGCGCTGCGCGAAGCGCGAATAACTTCGCGCTCTCGCGCCGCCCCCCAAGGGGGAGAAGAGGAGGACGAGGAGGAGGGGGAGGAGGAAGGAGGACGGCGAAGCGCGAAGCGCGAATAACTTCGCGCCCTCCTGGGAGCCCTTGAGGAATCGGATCGGCGGAAAGCGGCAGCCGAGTCGGGAAAGAAGTCGAGTCGGCAGAGGCCGCCAGGCTGGTAAGGCCTGGACCGAGAAGCTGAAGCCACACCGAAATCCGAGGACGAACCGAATCGGAATCGGAATCGATCGAGATCGAATATCGGGGAGACGTAAGACTCGGGTACGGGGAACTCGGGTTGGCATGACGGGGCCATCGCAAAAAAATGACGAGACACAATATACAATTTGACGCGAGCTCCCGCTGCAAACATCCCACGAAAACTGGACCGTCAAAGTCCAGGACGCGCTCGTCAAAAAACGTTGGCAAACCCAAGTTCCGGCTTACTCGAGTCTCACGTTCCCCCGAAAATAGAACCGAGTCGGAGCAATCGAAATGAGCCCTGGGGGGAGGCAACTTTTCGGCGCCGAGCCTGCGCCCTCACACGAGACCGCACCCTGCCCTCCGCCGCGCCGGTGGCGAGTTCTGAATACAGGCCGGGGGCTGGTAGCTCGCACCCGGCACTTACAGTGGAGCCTCCGCTATCTGTTGATTGGCTGAAGACAAAAAGCTGCAAAATACGCAGAAGTAACTGCGTCCGAAAGGCAGCATCGACGTACTGTAAGCACAGTGCGTGCTCTGCTAGACCCGCACAGGCGCAGTCGGTGTCCCCCGCTTCGCGGGCAGACGATCGTCAACATAATGGAGTTGCTGGAGGCCCTGGGCGTACCCCCAGGAGGGAAGAGGAGAACCTCAAGGAGGCGCAGGCTTGGGAGCCCGGTCCAGCCGACTTGGAGGGGATGAGGGGTGGGGGGGAAAGGGCTCGTGGACGTGCCTGGCTGGCCGCCGTTAGCGTGTCTGCGGTGTGTCGCCTCTGGTAAGCCAACCTCAGCGGCCTGCTCCCCTGGCACTCCAAAGCCAGCCCGACGAGCGGCGCGTTCGGCGGCCTGCACGGCCTCTTGCCGTCACTCAGGCGCCGCGACTTGCATGTACCCGGCGGCACCCCAAAGTGCTCACGGCTCCGTAAGAGTCAGCTTCTTTTGAATCGGCGATAACCGGGGTTGTCCGGGGGGGCGAGGAGGGAGCCGGCCGATAACCCAACCTTCGCGCTGTGGGCGGCAGCCCTGCATATGCCCGCGCCCCCCCCACCCTGGACCTGACCTGCACAGCCGGCAAGATTAGTTATCCTGGAGGGGGGAGGGGGGGGCAAGCCCGATAACCTGGGTTATCGCCGGACCCAAAAACAGACAGTCTCAAGTCCAGCGAATGGATCCATGAATACCCGTCGGTCAGGAGAACAGGGTAGAAACTTTGAGTAGGAAGGCGCTGGAAGTAGATTGGGCTTCCGCCCGCCCCCTGAAGAGAATGGAAGAGGTGAAAACACTAGATCATTGAGGTAGGAAGGCGCCTAAAGTAGATTGGGATCTGGGGATCAAGAAATGCCTGCTTTCAACGACCGACGGGTAAACCCACAGAAATCGAGAAACCCACACGCCCGAGCTACGCCCAAGCGTGGGGCAACGATAGGGTTAGGGCGGGCATGCTTCCCTAAAGTCTGATCTTGGGCGAAAAAATAAAAATAGTGAAAATATTCAAACATTGACAAAGACTTGTAAGAACAAGCGATCCCCTCGGGTGCCTTTTCGAAGCTGTCTGGGGCCGTCTCGGGGCGCCCCAGAGGCCCTGGTCCTCCCATGCGCTCCCGTGGTCGCGGCCCCCATGCGCTCCGGGCCCTCTTGGGCCGTCTTGGGGCTCTCTTGGGCTCCTCTTGGGGGCCTCTTGGCCGAACTAGGGATCCCACTCCTTCTTCGCACGTCCTGGATCCCACTCCTTCTTCTCACGTCCTCGTTATTCAGTGTTCACTTCTCTTCGCCTCTGCTCTTTTCCTCGCCCTTCCTCCCCTCGTCCTTCTTCTGCGCATTTGTCCTGCTCAGCCTCCCCTCTTCATCCTCCTCGTCCTGATCTTTGTTCTGAAGTTGTTCCTCTTTCCTCCTCCTCCCTTCCTCCCTTCCTCCTCCTCCTCCTCCTCCTCCTCCTCCTCCTCCTCCTCCTCCTTCTCCCTCCCCTCCGCGTCTCCTAGGGCTCTCTTCGGGGAGGAAGGCTGGACATGTCAGGTCGGGTACCCCTGTGAGCCCTTTCTGGGAGCGGTCCTGGGGCCTTATTGGGCTGTTTTGGATGCCTCTGGGTCACTCCTGAACCCCACTTGAGCCGTCTTAGGGCCATCTTAGAGCTCTCTCTAGCCGTCTGGTGCGATCTTGGGGCCCTCTGGGACCCTCTTTGGCCGTCGTGGCGCGAGATTGGAGGCCTCGGGGCGAATCTAATTAAACTGTACGTGTTCCAGTGGGAATGGGGCCATTTTTGCTTCTGCGGCCCCTCTTGGGGGTCCTTTTGGATGCCTCTTGGGCCGTCTTGCGCGGTTTGGGGGGCTGTCTGCGGACCATCTTCGGCTTCCTGAGGGCCTCTTGGAAGCGCCTGGGGGCCTGTGGGGGGCGTCTTGGGGCATTCTGGATGCTTTGGGAGGCCTTCTTGGGGTCTCCCAGGGCTCCCTTCGGGGAGGGAGGCTGGAAATGTCAGGTCGGGTACCCCTGCGAGCCCTTTCTGGGAGCGGTCCTGGGGCCTTCTTGGGCTGTTTTGGGGGCCTCTAGGTCACTCCTGAACCCCACTTGAGCCGTCTTAGGGCAATCTTGGAGCTCTCTTTAGCCGTCTGGTGCGATCTTGGGGCCCTCTGGGACCCTCTTTGGCCGTCGTGGCGCGAGCTTGGAGGCCTCGGGGCGAATCGAATAACACTGTACGTTTTCCGGTGGGAATGGGGCCATTTTTGCTTCTGCGGCCCCTCTTGGGGGTCCTTTTGGATGCCTCTTGGTCCGTGTTGGGCGGTTTGGGGGGCTGTCAGCGGACCCTCTTCGGCGTTTTGGGGCGACAATTCGGTGATTCTGGGCGTCTTCGGCTATTTGGAGGCCTCCTGAGGTCTCTTGAGGAGCTGTCCTGAACCGTCTCGGATCACCCCCAGAGCCCCCGGTACCCCCATGCCCCCTCGGGGCACACGCCCCTGGCGCCGGGGCGTCGTGCACGGGGATATATCTATATATATATATATGTATGTATATATATATATATGAATGTATATATAGGTGTATATATATGTATATATATATATATATTGGATAGATTTGCAGCCTCCCGAGAGACATGTTGAACGGGCCGATATCGTTTTGGCTCGAGCGCTTTGGAGAGAATAATTATCCATGGTAGCGTGAGCGGATGCGCCCCCAGCGCCGAGAGCTGCAGCCTGCGATAGAGCCGCGGCGGGCCAGGCCCGCAGAGGGCTCCGAGGCGCGGGCAAGAGCACAGGCGCTGGAGGCGACCAGCCTCGAGGATCCAGACGAGGGCGAGAACGGGTTCGAGGTGCTGTCGGAGAAGGACACGACCCAGGTGTGGGTCTCACTGGCAGCGCGGCTGGTGAGGCTGGCCTTCAAGAGGCGTTGTTGGGCGCACCTCGGACAGCTTCTGTGTGCGATCAAGAGACAGGGTCAAGATGGCAGCTACGGTCCAGGACGTCCAGGCGCTTCGACAGGCTCTCGAGCAAGTGCAGGGAGAGCTGCGGCAAGCACGAGCGGACGCGGACGCCGCGAGTAGAGCGGCGCAGGAGGCTGCGCAGCGTGCGCAGCAGGTGCTCGGGCAGCAGGGTGCAGCCGCAGCGGCGGCGGCGCAAGCGCCAGACCCTGGACCTGAGAGGATAGCCGCGGAGATGAAGATGATAGGCAAACCAAAGATGTTCGATGGGGCCAAGCCGCCATGGAGAGACTGGTCGGTTGTGTTCGAGGCGTTCGCAGGTGCGACGAACCCGAACATGGCGGCGGCGATGGCCAGAGCGAAGCGAGAGGCAGAGCCGGTGTTGATGACGAACCTCGAGCCCGGAGACATGCAGTTGTCCAGGACGTTGGGGCACTGGCTCATCCAGACGTGCAGGAGCCAGGCGCTCGACGTAGTGCTGAACGCGGGCAAGCTCGAGGGATTCGAAGCCTGGCGACAACTACACCTTCGATTCGAGCCTCAGGCGGCGAGCAGGTACGCTGGGCAGCTGATGACGCTGCTGGCCTGGGATTTCAGTGGTGAGATGATGATACGCCTGGAAGCCTTCGAGAGGGAGATCAGTCTGTACGAGTCGGCGTCGGAGGAGACCATCTCGGACGCGATCAAGGTTGGCATCGTGCTGAGGCAGTTGCCCGAGTCCCCGCTGAGGCAGCACATGATCATGAAAGCGGAGAGACTCAAGGAGTGGCCCAAGTTCAGGGAAGAGATCCTGAATGTTCGACGAGCCCAGGCCGCAGCGGCGGCAGCGCAGAACGGAGTGGCCCCGATGGATCTCTCAGCGTTCAACAACCAGGGTGGCAAGGGGCGCTGCAGGATCTGCAACGGCAAGGGCCACGACGAGAGGAACTGCTGGCACCGCAAGGGCGGAGCTGGAGCAGGCAAGGGCAAGTTGGACAGCAAGGGCAAGTCGAGAGGCGACTCCAAGTCGAAGAATTCCTCCAAGGGCGGAAAGGCAAAGGACGGCAAGACCGGCAAGGGGCCGAAGTGCTTCAACTGCCAGGAGCACGGGCACATGTCCAAGGACTGCCCGAAGAAGAAGAAGAAGAACAACCTGCACATGATGGAGCCGGAACCCGAGAAGGCGCTGCGCGGGCTGTGGCTCGCGCCGTTCACGATCGACGAGAAGGACGTGGCGCAGAAGGCCTTCGACCTGCCGATCGAGGGCGGTCTGGTGGACGACAAGCTGGTGCACGAGCTGAGCAGGCTCGGTGCGGACACGGCGCGGGCATCCCGCAAGATGGTGCTCGGTGTCGATTCGTGTGCAGCTACGACGGTCGTGCCATCGGAGCTAGCGCCGGACTACCCGACGTACGAGAATGACATGAGTGCGAAGGGTGAAGGCTACAGGACCGCGAACGGCGGCTGGGTGGCCGACGAGGGCACTAAGGAGCTCATCGGGTCGGTGCGCAACTCGGACGGCTCGGCGCAGGTGAGAGGCATCACGGCTAGGGTCGCGAAGGTCAGCAAGGCGCTCGCCTCTGTCTCGGAGATGGTCGACGCTGGCCATCGGGTCGGCTTTGACGCTGGCGGCAACTACGCGCAGAACAAGTCGACAGGGGTGATTACACCGTTCCAGAGGCGCAACAACGTGTACGAGATGAAGATGGAGCTGATGCCGTACAGCAAGGCGAAGGACGTGATCGGCCGCGCGGAGGCCTGGTCCAAGCCCAGCGCGAACGGCAAGAAGCAGAAGGAGATCTGCATGGTGAGGAGCGACGACGCAGGTGATGGAGCTGGATCGAGTCAGGCAGCCGCGTCGGCAGCAGCAGCAGCAGAACCAATCCAAGAATTTGTTCAACCAGAAGCAGTACCTCCACCACCTGCCCCGGTGGTTGCTCGGGAGCGGCCGGCAGTGAGAGCGGCGCGGAGACCGCACGAGCCGACCCAGCAGGAGCGAGAGGACCATGAAGTGTCGCACACGCCGTATCGAGCTTGGTGCAGGCACTGTGTTGCAGGACGCGGGCGAGCTGAACCTCATGTGACGAGGAGCCATACGGAGGATGCGATACCAGTCGTGGCGTTTGACTACGGCTACCTCGGCAGCGGTGAGGACGCGGCCCCGATTCTGTTCATGAGGGATTCGCTGCACAGGTACACGGGCGCGGAGGTGTTGACCTGCAAGGGGACGGCGCACACGCACAGCGCCGACATGCTGGTGAAGTTCGTGGTCAACGGCGGCTACAAGAAGGTGGTCTTCAGGTGCGACAACGAGCTCAAGAAGGACCACGGCGTGGAGTGCTTGCTGGAGACCTCGGCGGTTGGAGAGTCGCAGTCGAACGGTCTAGCTGAAGGAGCTGTCAGGGATATGAAGGGCCTGACGAGGACCCTCAAGCACGCGGTGGAGGAGATGCACGGAATCACGATCGGCCCGAAGCATCCGTGCCTGCCGTGGATGGTGAGGCAGGGCGCAGCAGTCCACAATCGAGGTCAAGTGGACTCAGACGGGCGCACGCCGTACGAGTTGAGGAAGGGGCGCGCTTACAAGAGGGCGCTCCCGGCGTTCGGCGAGAAGGTGTTCTACCTGCCAGTCGGCAAGAGGGAGTCGAGGCTGGTGGACAGGTGGCTGGAGGGCGTCTTCTACGGGATCCGCGACGACAGCGACGAGTGTACGTGGCGACGCCGAAGGGCGTGATGAGAGCCAGGAGCGTCAAGAGGATGCCACTGGCAGCGAGGAGCGACAAGGCTCTTTTCTCAGAGCTGCAGGGCGTGCCGTGGCGACCAGTTCCTGGTCAAGAAGGTGAAGGACTTAAAGTACCACCCGCCATGGCGAAGGTGGTGGCGGATCAGGTGGTGCCGGACGTGGATCTGCCCCCTGTTCCAGGACCTGTGGGTCCTCCTGCTCCGAGGAGGGTCTACATCGGGAAGGACGTGGAGCTGCGGCGCTACGGCTACACCCCAGGTTGCAGGGGCTGTGCAGCAGCTCGGGACAACCAGCGCGCGATCATGCACAGCGAGGAATGCCGAACGAGGATCGAGAAAGCGATGGAGGACGACCAGACGTTCGGCGGTGGAGCTCGGGTGGCAGAAGCTCACCTACGGCGAGTAGCTGGTGAGCGACCCGAGAGAAGTGAAGACGAAGAACCTGGAGCCAAGCGAGGACGAGTCGGTGATCGTGGGCCAGTCGGTGAACCAGGGGCGCCAAGCTCATCTGGGACTGCGTCGGGAAGCGCTCCGGCGGCGGCGGACGTGTCCATGGGCGACGCGGCGGAGATCGGCGCGCTGCTGGAACAGCTCGGTCTCGACAGCTTGGATTCGCAGGAGGTGTTCAACCCAGGGGAGTTCGCCAAGGGAGCTCCAAAGTTCAATCTGAAGCCAGGAGTGGCGATGGACCTCAGGACGGGCTGGGACTTCCGGCTCGAGGAGCAGAGGAAGCGAGCGAGAGCGGAGATTGAGGAGGGAGACCCTGCCTTCCTCATCATGTCTCCTGTATGCACCCCGTTCTCACAGCTGATGGAGTTGCTGAAGGCGAGCGGCAAGCGTGATGATGTTAAGTTTCAGAGGCTGCTCGCGGAGTGCAAGGTCTTCCTGGGCTTCTGTATGGAGCTGGCGGCCTACCAGCATTCGAGGGGGAAGTGGTTCCTGTTCGAGCACCCTTGGACGGCGTCAAGCTGGAAAGAGGAGTGCATCAAGAGCATCAGGGAGCTGCCTGGCGTCATAGTGGTCAAGGGCAGCCAGTGTGTGTTCGGAGCCAAGTCATACTGGCCGGACGGCTCGGAGGGCCTCGTGGCGAAGCCGACGGGCTGGATGACGAATAGCCGCGAGGTGGCGAAGCAGGTGGGGATCGCGTGTGACGGCTCCCACGAGCATGTGCACCTCCTGGAGAGGAGGGCGAAGGCGGCTGAGAAGTACCCCTTAGGGCTGGTGAAGGCAATCCTGAGGGGCATCAGGAACGAGCTGAAGATCGGTAAAGGGATCCATGCGTTCGAAGTTGGTCAGACCGCGGAGGAGCCAGAGATTCTGGACCAGGCGACCGAGGAGGAGATGGCGACCTTCTACGACGGGATCAGCGGTGCGGTGCTGGACCCGGTAGGCGTCAAGAATGCGCGCACGGACGAGATTGGCTACATGAGCAGGCTCGGAGTGTTTGAGAGGAGAAAGATTTCCGAGGCGCTGCAAGTGACGGGAACCAAGCCGCTTCCAAGCGGCTGGGTCGACACCAACAAGGGCGACGATCAGAAACCAGAACTACGGAGTCGGTTGGTGGCGAAAGAGACGCGGAAGCTGAGCACCCTTGGGCCTGAGGACGCTGCGGCGACCTTCGCGGCGACCCCGCCGCTGGAGGGCCTGATGATGATTATGTCTATGGCGATGACAGGGTGGCATGAAGATCGAGTGCTGACCTTCGTCGATATCTCAAGAGCGCATCTACACTCGGAGCTGCAGAGGCCAGTGTACTTGAAGACGCCAGCGGAGGATCTAGAGTGCAAGGATGACGAGTGCTGGCTGCTGCTGAAGGCCATGTATGGGCTGAGAGATGCCAGCTCATCATTCGACCTGAAGGTGGAGGACATCATGGCGAGGATCCTGAAGTCGAAGCAGGGCGAGTTCTCGCCTTGCATCTACCAGGTTGGCAAGCTGGTCGTTTGGAGGCACGGCGACGATTTCGTGGTGCTCGGTGGGCGAAAGGATTCAAAGGCTTTCACGGAGAACCTCGGCGAGCACCTGATCGTGAAGGTACGAGGGGTTCTGGGACCTGACCCGCAGAGCGGCGACATCGACGAGATCGTGGTGCTGAATCGCATCGTGAGGTGGGTCAGGCCGAACGGCAACGACGTGGAGAAGATCGAATACGAGGCGGACCCGAGGCACGTGGAGATCATCCTGGCCCAGCTGGGCCTGCAGGGTAAAGAGAGCAAGCCAGTGGTCACGCCGGGGATCAAGAGGCAGGAGCTGGATGGAGAAGCACTACAAGGACGAGAGCGGGCCATCTACCGCTCGGTGTGCATGCGTATCCAATACCTGGCGCAGGATCGACCTGATTTGCAGTACGCGGCGAAGGAATCAGCTCGAGTGATGCAGGATCCGACGATTGGCGGATGGCAGGCCATGAAACGGATCGGTCGGTACCTCGTAGGTACCCTGAGGCTGGTGGTCGAGTATCCACGGCAAGCAGATCGGCGAGTTGCTCAAGTCTATACGGACAGTGACTTCGCAGGCTGCCTGAGAACACGTAAGTCTACTTCATCGTGTACGGTGATGGTTGGGAAGCATTGGATTAGAAGCAGTTCGACAACCCAAAGGTTCAATGCTCTATCTACTGGAGAAGCGGAGTTCCACGCGCTGGTGAAGGGCGGCAGTATCGGGCTCGGCCTCAAGACTCTCGCAAAGGACATGGGTGTAGATCTCGAGATCGTGCTGAAGTGCGACGCGACGGCGGGCAAGGGCATCGCAGAACGTCGTGGAGTCGGACGAGTTCGACACCTACATACGCCTCTGCTGTGGCTGCAGAGGGCTGTGCAGCAGAAGAAGCTGCGCGTCAACAAGATCGCAGGTCTCGAGAACGTCAGTGACATCGGTACGAAGCACCTGGACGGGCCCCTGATTAAGAAGTTCCTGGCGGCGATGGGGTTCGTGGCGAGAGCAGGTCGGAGCCGACTGGCCCTGCGGGCAGCACTGGATGGATGAGTGGTGATTGAGACATCCCTCAGAGCGCTTGAGCTGGCGGCGGCGTTTGGCCGCACGCTTTTGATTCTGAGGAGTGGTGGATCGCCACGCTCCGCTGACTTTGTGCCGGCCGTAAGAGTCGGCGGCCTCCCACGCGGAAGGAACGCGGAAGGCCGGGAGGGCTGGATAGATTTGCAGCCTCCCGAGAGACATGTTGGACAGGCCGATATCGTTTTGGCTCGAGCGCTTTGGAGATAATAATTATCCATGTGTACTATACCCATCGCGTGCGTTTCGCGCGCGCTTTGGTTTCAGCCGAGGTCAAAGACAAATCGAGTCAAACTTAGTCGAAACGCGTCCTGGAGCCGTCTTGGAGCTCTCCTAGGTCGTATTGGGGACCTCTTGGGGTGTCTTGGCCCCCTCTCGGGACGTTTTTGGGGCCTCTTGGGCCGTTTTGGGACTCTCTTGGGGGCTTCTTGTACCGTCGTCACCGCTGTGAAGACCGATAAGTCGTAGATGCTAAGAAGTTACGTTCGCCCATGCAAAATCAATGATTCTGGCCTCTTGGGGCCCTCTTGGGAAGCCTCTTGGGTGCCTCTTGGGGCGTCTTCGCGGTCTCTTGGGCACTGTGAGAACCGTCTTGGGCGTCCAAGGTCTAGTTTTGAGCGCTCCAGGGCCGCCATGGAGCCTCATGGGAGGCAGCTTCTTGGAAGGCGCCGGCCTCACACCTGTAGAGAAGGCCCGCGCATTCTGAGAAGCGGGGGTGCTTCTAATAAGCCCTCCCCCCCCCCCTCTGCGCGTGTCCGAGATTCATGCGGTCGGCCTCGCCTCCCGTGTCCGTTGCCCGGGAGCCGTCGAGCCGGCCCCGCGCGCGAGCCCCGCCTGTCTCCCGCGGATGCGCGGTCGCACGGATGCCTCTCGCGCGGGGGGGGCATCCGCGGCAAAAAAAGGCCCGTGTCCTCCAAGGCCGTAGATACCGATGAGGCCTCCGCCCACGATCAATGGCGCCGCCCCTTTGGCCTGCGCCATGGCGCCGTGTGGTACTCTCAGGTCACCACCTCCGCCTCCTCACAGCGCTGTCCCAATCCTCCGAGCTGGGCTGCCGCCGCGGTCATCGACACCGAGAACTCCTGGACTCTGTTCCCCCGCTCGGGCGGCCGCCACCGAAGCGAAGAGTGCCTGTGCCGAAGAGAGCTCCGCAGCCACCACACGGGGCAAGGCACGGTCTTGCGCGGTGCGGCCATCTCGGTGGCAGGACGACTGTGGAGGAGAGGCGCCGACCAGACGAACCCCCGTAGAAGCAGCCGCAACTCAAAGCCAGAATGGCGACGGGTGGAGACGTTGAGGAAGCGAGGGTGAGGTAACACAGGGAGCCCCCGCTTCAAACAAGAAAAACGTATAAATATTAACTTGTGGCGCTCTGAGCGGATTTCTTGGGTCTGCGCTGGACCCCCCTCCCTGGCGCGCAGAGCGCGCCAGAGGCGGCGCTGGAGGCGCCGCCGGGGGGGAGGGGCCCAGCGCGGATCCGGGAAACCTCGCGAAGAGCCAAAAGTTTGTATTGATGCCGCTGTCTGTTCTCCGACAGCTGGGCAGCGTGAGCGCTCGGAAACACATGAGACATCGAGCGACTGCCTTCCAAACCACCCCAACCCAACCCGAAGACCCGAACTTCGCCGGCCTTTCGGGTCGGGGGGGGGGGTACGGGCTTCATATGTATGTGTTTTCCAATGTGCCCCGACCCCCCTCCCACACTGGAAATGGCGGGCGAATCGGGGCCTTCGGGCTTGGCTGGGGTGGTCTGGCGGGCGGTGACGAGCCCAGCCAGGCGGGCCGCATGCAGGGGACGCGGCCCGGGCTGCGGGGGCCGGGGAGGGGTCACAGCGCCACCAGGCACGGGCGCGGCTCCTCGCCGGTGAGGGTGGCGGGCAAGAGAAGAGCACCTCCTCCTGCTCCTCCGCCTCCTCCTCCTCCTCATCCCCCTTCTCCTCCTCCTCCACCTCCTCCTGCAAAACCCCGAGGAGGGTTCTGCACGGGAGCCCAGTGACAGTGATGATGATCGGTCACCTTTACACTCCCGCACGGCGAAGCGAGTCTCGGTGGCTTCAGCCGTTAAACACTTGAGCCAAAGGTAACAGGGTTACTATTCCCCCCCAGTCACCTGAACGCTTGCATGTTAACACCCCCCTCGGACGCTAGTCCGTATGGGCTGACGGGGAGGTGTCTTCAAACGTAAAAACAGGTTAAACTGCGCAACACGCTGCACGCAAATCATCATATTGCTGAATTCGAAAGGTCTCGTGACTGCGCTTACGAGCACCACGTTTCTCACACATGTAACATGAGCTCGAGTAAACGCTCTTACAGTCACAAGTTCAAACGGAGCATCTAAAGTTTACTCGGCAGGCTAGCATTTGGATGATTTTGATTGCTTTCGCTTTTTATTCGCCAATACCTGCGGTAACTACAAGAGATGCGCATGCAAACGAGCTCAGCTCAACAAGCTACCGCCACTCGGTTGTTAAGCCAAGTTAAGAGGGGAGATGAGGAAGAGCGTAAACTGCAGCATGCTGACTACCTGCCGTCTTTCACGAGCGGCGCGGGCGCCTCGCCGACGGGGCTCGCGCGCCCCTCGACCTCGGCAACCCGCGGTGTCCCACGCTGGCTGCGGTGTAGGACGACACCCTGTTAAGGGCCTGCATCGGGCTGTAGTAGTCGGTGTCCAGGCACGCGTTAATGCGCTCCTCGTCGTCGAGCCAGCACCCCTCATCGAAGCTCTTGATGGAACCGTCAACGATGTTGTGGTAGGTGCCGATGGCCCTCCAGTAACTGGCGTGGGGAGCCTTCAACAGAGGCCCACCGCCTGGATTGTTACGGAGGTGCTCCTCGACCGCAGCGCCGGTAAACGGGTTCACAGTCCAGGTCGGATCGGTAAGCCAGTTGGGGAAGTCGTCGCACGGCAACCAGCCAAACCAGCAAAGCTTCTCACGATGATCGCTTTTACGCTCGGTGACATGATCAGCAGGCCAATTCTCACGGTAAAGTGCCCTCATGGATCCCTGATCGTTAAGGGCAACATCCAAGATGGTCTGGTGCCAGTAGACTGGAGGCCTGTTGATGCTGCCCTTTAACTCCTCGGTGCTCCTGACCTCGAGGTCGTCGATGAAGTAGTTACGGTAATGCACCTGGAGCCCGTTCATGTAACGGCAGCAAAGCTTGGCGAGATCGGGCGTCGCAAACCGAATCACGGTAACTCCAGTCGAGATGTAACCGTGCGGCCCACGGGTGTCTTCCACCAGGTGCTTAACGGAGATCACGGTGGGGTTGCCGTGGGGCAGCATTCCTGCCCACGTTAAGAGAAGACCGTTAAGCTGCTTCTCGTTCATCTCCGGCACCTTGTTGACGTACACCTGCGTGCCCGGGCAACTGTGGAGCTCAAACCACGATGGGTGAAGATCGTCAACGTGGAGCGGCGGCACGTACTCGTCGTCAAATAGGGGCTGTACGTGCCCAACCGCGCCAACCCATTCATCATGCTTGGTCAACTCTTTCTCCGTCAACTGAGATCTCCAGCTGCTCGGACCTTTCAACACGGCACAGCCGATGAAACCGTAAGCATGTTGGCCAAAGATGTCAACGAACACGTCATCGTAATCGTTAAGCTCCCGCCCTGTGTTGCCCTGAATAGACCGGCCGCCAGGGGTTGTTAACCCCGCCTTCGCCACGTGCCCGACGAAGTTGCCCTCGTACCTGCGCCAGGTTGTCACGCGTCTTCATCGTTAAGGCTACCACTTCCCTGGGGTCAGGTTCCGCCTTGTAGTTAACGTCGTAGTCGTCGCTCCTGTCGTTCAGCATGGGCATGTGACCGTTGACGTGGTACAGCGGGCGGTACACGGCCTTGGCGACGGTCCTGGAGTACCCCGCAAGCTGATCATTCGTGCGGTTAACGACTTGAGGCTGCGGTGGCGGGTTGCGCTGGATCGGCAACCTCTTGGGCTCCGGAGGCGGGGGCTTCATGCCGCTAACGCTGCTTGACGCTCTGGACTCGCCGAGCCCCGGAGGGGGCGGCTTGGCCGGCCTCGCGTTCACGGCAGGGGCAGGATCCTTTGGCACCTCATCAAGTTGACCACCAATCGCTCGATCCTCGTCCATCTTCATGCCTATCTGCATCAATTCTTCCAACTCCCGTTTACGCTCATGCATGGCCTTCGGCGCCTTCTTGTAAACAGGCTGTGGCTCTTCACCGCTCTGCCGGCTCAACGTTGACGGTGGGATCTTGTTCGGTGACATGGACCGTCGGCTCCCCCCGGCTTTAGCGGTTGCGCCGGCCAGGTCCTGAGTCGGGGGAGCTTTCCCTGATGGAGCCACGTTAACCTGCTTCACTGGGGGCGCGCCTGTGGCCATGGGCCCGGCTGCCGCGGTGGCGGCAAAGGGTGGCGCCTTGGCGAGTGCTGCCGTCGGGGGCAGCTCAGGTAACGGCGGCGGCACCTGCGGGATGATGGTAACCGAGGAGCTGATCGGGTCATTCAAGAACCTCTGTAAACCCTCAAGTCTCTCGGTAACTCCCACTAGCATGCGTAGTGCCGCATCCCGTTTGCCTTCGAAGTCCTGCAGAGGCGTGATGTTCTCGGTGAGACGCCTGGCGGTGTTCAAGAGGTAACCGATATTTTCGTTAATGCGCCTGTACTTGGTCGCATTCTCCGCCGTGTTAACCTCCGAGTCGCGATTCTTGATGTTCAGCTCTGTAATCGTTGCCACAAGGGCGTTAACCTCGTCCTGCGCCCTCTTGAGGTTTTCGTTGAAGTCGTCACTGGCGTGAACCAACGCGGCGTTCTGCCGCGTTAAGTCAGCGATCCTCCGCGCCATGTCATCGGCAGCCCTCTGCACTTCGTCAACGTGCTTGTCGTAGGCCCCGTGAAAGTTAATGGCCATGTTGGTGAGGGCCACGGTAAACGCATGGGCCACGTTGACGATATCGTCAACACGGCGATTGAGGTTCTCACGCGTAACCGGCCCTGCCCCAGGCGGGCTCTGGTCGACCACGGCACCGTTGATCGTGACGTTGACCTGGTGGCCCGCCATGCTTTCGTTCACGCTCAAGGGGAAGAGGTAAAGGATGGAGGAGGCCTTAATCGAGACTGCTTGCTTGACAGAAATGAGCTGCGAATGTCAACATTCGGTAGCCGGCGCAAGACTATGCCGACCTGTTAATGCACATTGGTTCGTGTTTAGTAGGTGTGTGCTCATGCTCTCACGACTGACATACTTGGTTAATGCATCTGCTGTGTTCTCGTGTGCCTACTTTCACAATTCGAAGTACTCCCTCCTTTACCTTCTGCTGCAGCCACAGTTGACATACTTCAATGTGTCTCACTTTTCCTAAACCTCGTCTGCTCGCAATGGCAATTGCAGCCGTGGCATCACTCTTCAGGGTGATCCCAACTTCCAAGTCAAAATCTCTCAACACGGCCTGAAGTCCTAGTCCAACTGATCCTCCTTTCACGAGCCCATAATATTCTGCTTCCCCTGACGATAACGCAATCACACTTTGAGTTGTGCTCCAAGATTTTATCAGGTGTTTACCCCACATCACTACTCCTCCACTCGTAGACTTCCTAGTTCGTTTACATCCTGCGTAATCTGTGTCAGTCCAAATCGTCAACTCTCGGGGCTGTTCTTGATACTGATACACATAACTGCTTCTGCTGTGATACTTTAAATACTTTCCTAGCTTGACTAGGCCTTTCCATGAACCCATCGTTGGCTTTGACATGGTTCTAGCAAGTTCCTTTACTGAATACTGCATGTCCGGTCTGTCTTGAGCTAAATAATTTGCTCTGGCCGTCAATGCCTGATATCGCTTAGTCATGTTGGGCGACAGTTCTACCGCATCTCCCTCTTCAACTGGAATGCGCTCACCTGGTACCTCAGTCCTCACTTTTACTCCCTCAAGCTCAAGCTCTTTCACAATTATCTCTGCATGCCTTTGATCTGCCTCATATCTCAACCCTTCCTCAGCCCATTCCACGATCCTGTTAAGAATCCTGATTGCCTTCATGTCCCCCTTCCCTGGTCCAAGTCGTCCTCTCACTTTTACCTCAAACTCCTCCTGTATTTTATTTTCAAACCAATCGAGATCATGGCCACCCCCTAGTAGCGTAAAGTCATCCCCATGAACCGTTAACCACACGGCCCGGGTCTCGTGTTTAAACACGCACGGTGACGCAACTCCACTCTTGAACCCAACTTCAAAGGCAAAGTCCATGTAACAGTCTTCCCAGTTGCTTGCTGCATCTCTTGTTCCATACATTGACTTCAGTAACTTTCCGCACATGCCCGGCTCGTAATCCTCGTCCGGTAGTCTGATAAATATGTATTTCTTTGCAGGGGCGTAAAAGTAAGCTCGTTTAATGTCAGTGAATGCCAGCTTGAATCCTTTCTCGCGCTCGCCTTTCTTGAATCCCACTCCTTCGGTAACTGCCATTGAGAAGAGCAGTTTTTGTGCTTCCAGTGGAGGTGTGGCCGCAAATATATTCTTTTCCTTGGAATTGTATTTAACGTGCTGGGCCACTAGCCTTGATCTGTGGCCAGGGCTTAACTCATCTCCTTTGTTAATATCTATCCATCTGGTTCCAATGGGCGCCTTCCCCGTGACTTGCCAACACACTTCTTCTTTCACTTTCTCGTAAACCTTGTGCTTTCTAAATTGTTCCATTTCTTCCTGGCGCGCTTTCACCGTTAGTTTAGGATCGAGTTCGTTTCCTGTAACATCGCCCCAGGCTTGGGTTATCTCTCCATTTTCCTTGTGAACAACGTTAATCATATTCATGGGGAGAGGTTTAACTGCGCCAACCTTTTCACACGCTGCACAGGTGCTGGGCGTCTTGAGCCAGCCCTCATGTTCA